TCAGGCTCAAAATCATGTTCTTTGTCATCAATCTCAGCTGACTGAGACTTAGACGCCTGCCTAGGTGCCACTGGACAAATTTGCAACTATCCTATCTGATCATAGGTGCATAATTGTACAAGGATAGTTCAGTAGTATCTGACCAGCAGTTGATAGGTAGTAGTCAGTTGAACTAAACTATAGTATTTCCTTTGGTATGGATAGCTGTAGTTTGTTAGTTCTGACCAGCAGTTGATAGGTAGTAGTCAGTTGAACTAAACTCTAGTATTTCCCTTGGCATGGATAGCTGTAGTTTGTTAGTTCTGACCAGCAGTTGATATGTAGTAGTCAGTTGAACTAAACTCTAGTATTTCCTTTGGCATGGATAGCTGTAGTTTCACATAGCATGATAGCACATGGATAGGTGGGTGTCTATCCAGACATGATATTCACTGGAAATTTGAAGTATACAGTAGTATTTTCCTTATATATGAAAAACCTAATTAGAGCACGTGATGCAATATTGGCGCCAAAATCGTAGACAGAGTTAGTAGGGGGACACGTATATACTTCGATCGCTGGTCCGTACGTACGATGGCCTGGTGCGCCAAAGGAAGAGGTAATCGCGAGTTAGAGGGTGGATATCTTCTCAGTGACTCTGATTCTGAAGAAGAAGGCCTCGTCGACGACGACTCCATGAACGATACCGATCCTCCGCTCGACTCCGAACTTGAACTGGACCCTGCAGATGAGGAACTGCACCATGAACCTGAAGAAGATGAGTCGCCCCCGGAACTGGACGATCAGCCGACGAAGCGACGTCGAGTGGAAGAGCCACCTTCGGGTCCCGTGAACCAGGGGTGTCGTTCAACACCTCGTGCTCCAAAAACAAGGGCTATTGTCTGCTGGGCATACTCCTGTTATTCGGAGGAACGTTTTTTCTCAGCCAAAGACCCTTAATATGGACTCAGGAAAGAAGGATGGTGATGAGTCGCTCTCTTCAGTGCTTGGCAATGAAAGGCTCGACAAGACAGAATCAAAACTTGAATCTATGGAGCGGAAACTCAATACACCTTCCTCTTCCAGTGCTGGGTCTGGGACGGATAACAGGAAGGTCCCAACAATTGTCAGGGTAAGTGAGGTGTTGCGACTTTTTTGGGTGTACTGTATCACCATGCCGTTTTGTCTTTTTTTGAAGACCGAGACCAGGAAGATTTACAAGACTTTGCTTGATGGTGACGAATTCACTGGGTTTGATCTTTCCCCTGGGTAAGTATATCCTCACTGTGTGTTAGGCTGCCTGTATATTATACCACCACCTTCTAGAACAACGTACAAGGACAGTGTAAACTAGAGTGTAGCAAAACTGCTCGTCAAGGAAGTGTGCACAACTCATGAAATTCTCTCATGCTTACTCTGGTTCTTTTTGTGTTGCAGCTGCTGCCTACACTTATTACAAAAGCCTCTGTCAAGATGAGACACAGAAAAGAAAGGGCATCTATGCTAAAAGGAAAACGCAGTGCCGTCGCCGAGAAAGGGTCGTCAGGGTAAGTGTAACACGAACATGCTTTGCTCACATTTTTAGGCATGCAGTTTTATGCTTCCTTAATGAATCATGTGCAACTATGTGTTCTAAATCTTTATCCCCCAGAGACGTGCCGAGAGGGAGGCACAGTTTAACAAAATGTCATTCAGTGAAGCTGACCGGGTGAAATGGAGGAAGATTTTCGTCACCGAATTCATGTCGAGTGATGAGAGTGGAGAAGAAGATGGGCGTGCTGTTTTTATGGTGAAAAAGCTTCGCTGGAGGAGTGAGAGGGTGTCCAGCTTTTTTGAACGACTCGACACTGCCCGTGCATCCCGAAAGACCGAACAAGCGAGTCGTCAAACAAAGCCACGCATATACAGTGATTTAATCTCATCAAGACCTGCTCCCGTGGGTTTCCCAGCTGGGCAGTGATCCAGCAGTGAACATACTGAACAATGGATGATTGCATTCTTTTGCTGTTAATTCGTCGTTGAAAGGTCATGTATAATCATGTGAATTGACAGGGATATGTGATGCGCAAGATGATCTGATAGATCATGGACACATTTAGGATAGTCGTAAAGATATGTGATGTGTCAACACAATGCAAAGTTATTATAGGTGGTCTGCATTAGATATGAAAGGTCAAGGTTAGGTCTTCTGCTAACTACCTGTCAAGTACCTGGCACTTAGCCCTATCCACTACTGGTCAGGTGGCAGGAAATGTCTTCTATCTGGTAGTGCATGATAGGCCAGAGCACATGAACTCCCACCAAGCAATCCTTGATCAAACCAGTAGTTTGGCAGTTCAAAATTTGCCCAGTGTGCATTGCGTGGATTGAGTGGACACCTACTGTGTGTTGTTTTCACGTGATCAGTTGCACCACACACACATCGTCTTGGAATTTGAGGCTCATCACTAAAGCCTACATTTGGTTTGTAGTCATGGCCTAGCTTCAGCTGCAGGTTGAATTTCTGCCGCTGCTGCTGCTCAGTAACACGATGTCTGTGTTTGGCAGTATAAGCTTTCTTTTGGTGCTCCGTGGTCTGGCGTTTCACACGCAGCTTTTCTCTTGCCTTGTTTTTCATTTTGTAATAGGCTCTAACACCATCAAAATCAGGGAATCCTAATTTCTCATATAATTCAGGCAACCAATGGTACCCAGTACCTTCCATTTTTTTGCATAAAAGTCAAATTTGACTCTAGCAACCCCAGATTGGTTGAAGCCTGGTAGTGTACTCGCTTTATATTCCAATTCTTTTTCCTAAACTTTATCAGAGCACTATTGGCAGACTCTAACTGATTTGTGTGCCCTCTACCAAGCTCCTTATCAATAACTTTCTCTGCCTGCTTACTTCTATTGTGCAATTCAATTTTGTAAGCCAGGGTATGGTATGGACAGCTCAGTTTTAGCCTGGTTTTATACTCTTTCCCCTCACATGTGAGATTGTCACCCTTACAATTCCCACAACTACACACAATAAGGCTGTGGAAATCACACTGCCCCCCTTCCCACTCATGCTCATCACAAACATGGTGTGAAATCATTTCTATTCGTTTCTTCAAAGCATTGGGGTCTGTTTTAGCATCATTTAGTCCTGCAAAAAGCTTCTTTCTAGCTCCAGCAATAAAGGGATCAGTAACACTGCAGAGCAAACGAAACAACATTTTGTTGGGATTCCTCATGGATATCCGAAAAAGGAAGGCAAATATTTCTAGTTTCACACACTCCACTGCAAACAAAATTGGCTTTCCCATCACCTCCCATACCTACAAGCTCAACATCTTTCAATCTAAGCTCCCCATTACAATTTGGAGCCTTACAATGGGAGGTCCTATTGATATCACTAATGAGACTATCCAGTTCCTTGGCACTAGTCAAGAAAGGGGTAGTTCCACCCCTTGCTTCCCCAATATTTCTCATTTCAGGTGTATCAGGGACATACACCAGTGTCCCTGCCTTTACCATTAGCTCGTTGCACGCGTTTATTTCGTACACCCGCAACGTTTCTACGCGGAATTATTTTTAAATCGCGCGCGCGCGCGCACACACCCCTTTATTGCGTAATTTACGTGGCCACTATAGTGGCCCTCCGCGTACCGCGGAGAAAGATTAACGGCCGTTATACTGGCCTTCCGCGCGCAACGAGTTAGGGTGTCTATACAATGGCAAGGGGTCCCGCTGGACTCAGCCCCATCCTTCCCACACTCACCAGGAAGTGTCTCCTTTGCAGGAGTAGACACCGCCAAAGGCAGGGGGGAGTAGATAAAACATCACCCATTTCACTTGCCATACTACTACCACCCTCATCAGCAGATGGGATTTGTGCTGATGATTGTGGAACAGGGGCGTCATCACTGACAGGCAAAACAGCATGTTGACTGTCATGTTGACTCAGCCTAGACTGCATTCTGGCCTACAGAAAGAGTTGGAGTAGACTATATGTTACATGGTTTGTGTTAGAAGGCAATAAGGAGGAGCAGACTGACAATCGGCAGAAAAAACTCGAAGAAGAGAACGTCACACCTCACACACTTTCAGACAAGGCAGAGCAGAGAAAGTCACACCTCGCACACACACTAAACACTCGGACAAGGCAGAGCAGAGAATGTCACACCTCGCACACACAAACACTCGGACAAAGCAGAGCAGAAAACGTCACACCTCGCACACACACCAAACACTCCCAGACAGGGCAGAGCAGAGAACGTCACACCTCGCACACACACTAAACACTGGACAAGGCAGAGCAGAGAATGTCACACCTCGCACACACACCAAACACTCGGACAAGGCAGAGCAGAGAATGTCACACCTCGCACACACACCAAACACTCCCAGACAAGGCAGAGCAGAGAATGTCACACCTCGCACACACACGAAGCAACACGGCAGAAAGCTTGTCTTACCTCCGTTGCTTTCTTCGCGTTCTTGGCAAGAATGAGCTTACGCTTCTTCCTTGCCATGGCAAAAACGCGCAACACAACCAGCAGGTAGGCCCAGGTCCAGTCTGAAAAATAGCGCACTCTTTTATGCTACCGTTCGTCAGGCACTCACGCGCATGCGCATTGACGCGCGCGCATGCGCATTGACGCACGCCCGCGCCTGAAAACTAAAATCTAGCAATGCGCAAGGATAATAACGTGCGTCGTTCAATTCATTCATGCGCAGTGTTTTCTTGTGACATGAATACAACAAAACAAAAGGTTTAGTTGTTCAAAATATTCATTTGTATGTTTCAAATTTATGATCTTCATTTTCATACTTTGCACAGAATCATAACAAAATGTATTGAAGGCCAAATCCAAATCTTTCACAACCAGTCTGTGTCTGTTCCCCCACTGTATAGCAGGGGGGGAAATAAAAAGTATACCTTACTCTCTATTGGATTTGTTTTGATTTGAAGTTCAGCACATAATCAGCTCATACCCCTCTAATTAGGTGAAGCCAATACCAAACAATTGCTGTTTTGTTGTCAAGTAAGCATCTATGAACCCATAAAAAAAAGTTAAAAAGTTTTTTATTACTTCTTGAACACCCGGTCATAGAATCTCTGCGCATAACGGAAATCATGGTCTTTTAGAAATGTCCGTCATAACGGTGCGTGTCGGACCCCTGGTCTTCCAATGTACTGAAGTCTCCGTAAGACTAAGTATGCGGCATATGAGACGAGGAATGAAGGTATATATATAGGTAAGCGCCCTACGCGCCTCTGACACTCCCCCCCCCCCGGCTCGCACTTTGCAAATGCTCGCGTAGACTACCGCCGCAATACCCGGCTCACAGGTTGATGCTTTGGACGTTCGCGTGTATGCGTGAATATGCCTGAATGCGGGGGTTTCCAGTTCTACGACCAATGCGTGAGGGTTGGCAGGACTGCCATACAGACTTGCCTAGCCTACAATACAAGTGTACAACGCCGCGCTACAGTACAGCGGCATGGTCCAACACGTAGACTACGCATGCGCGGCACTGCACGTACACGTGCTAGTGCTGCGAGGATGGCGGAGCGAGGAGAGTCCTCTGACGACGAGCCGACCATCGCCGAGGACGTAGTCGTCACCAAATACAAGATGGCCGGAGACATGGCCAACCGTACGTCGCCCCCCGCTCTCACTCTTATTAGAGCACACTACACTGTAGCGGAGAAGGTCGATTGCGTATTCCCACACTATATTGTTTTTTCCGACGGTATTTTTGTTCTTTCAGTTTCATGTTGCTGTATTTCCTTACTCACCCCCACTATTTACTGTAGTTTTACCTAATGTTCTATGTTTCTTCCTTGTTTCATCCCTCCCATTCGCCCTCTCCTCTCTCCACTCTTTCCTGCTATCCTTCTCTCCCTCCCCCGTGTATTTTTCTCCCCTCTCTTTCTCCCTCCCTTCCTCTCTCTCCTGTCCTCCCTCTCTCCCTCGGTGGTGTACAGGAGTGCTGAAGTCAGTGTTGGAGGCAGCAGTAGAAGGTGCTAGTGTCCTCAATCTATGTGAGATGGGAGATAGTCTCATTCTGGAGGAGACTGGGAAGGTCTACAAAAAAGAGAAAGATATGAAGAAAGGTAAGGTTTCTTATGAGTTGTGTCCTCAAATCTTATCACAGTAATGATGAAGGACTAACCTTTTGTAAGTGTATAATAATGTACAATAATGGATGTATCTTTTATACATGTGTTGTAGACCTATTTTTAATAACCCTCAGCACATGCGTAATATGCAATCGCACTGGGTTACCTCGACCTGATCCGCTTGCTCTGTGTACCGTGTAGGATTAATAAGTCACAACGGAGGGCGTGTATCGAGTCCCGCATGCTATCTACTCCTGTAGCCCGAAGCAGACTCTCAGCGAGCTAGGTCGTGGACCATAGCCCTGCCCGTCAATTACCAGTACCGCACGTACGTACATGTTCGACATTTCTTGTTAGTGCACCGAGGGCTTTCACTTTACTGCTTTTTGTATTCATTTATGTTTGCTTAATCTAAAGGATGAAACTGGCGTGTTTGATTTGACCAACTTGTTCACCTTGCTGTTGCACATAACCCTGCAGGTATAGCGTTCCCCACCTGTGTGTCTATCAACAACTGCGTGTGTCACTTCAGTCCCCTCAAGTCTGACCCTCCAGTCTGCCTCGCTGCCGGAGACCTCTTCAAGATGTAGGGTCACTCCCTCTCTCTCATTCACCTCCTTTACCAGTCCAACCCTTACAGTGCAGTGGTTTTGTATGCACATATAAATGCACAAATGTGATCGGTCTATTAGGAGAAAGCTATAGTTAACCTTCGGCGCGTATGCGCAGCGAGGGTTACTGTAGTTAGTTTGTAAGTGTGTCTGTCTGTCCATCTGTCTGTTACCACGTTTTCTACGACTACACGCAACGAGACAACAAAACAGCGATACCAATGGGTTCATCGGCATTCCGAACACACTCTACTCCTTTGTATTCTGTGTGTGTATAGTTTTCTCATGGTATACAACGAGAGAAATAGGGTTGTAGTAGGACACTTCACATCTTTTCCGTCTGTCCTCTTTGCTCTCCCTCTCACGCTCTCCACTCTCTCTGTTCTCTTACGCTGTCACTGACTCAAAAGTACACGTAGTGTCGATTAGAGTATCGGTGTATCACGTGTGGTTCACTCTCCCCAATACACTTAAATTGTGGCGTGTTTGCACCCAAGGATGTGTTTCAAATAGAGCCCACTATCCTATCTCTGTCCTCCAGAGAGCTGGGGGTACATGTGGACGGCTTCATTGCAGTGGTTGGACACACTGCTGTTGTAGGAGCAACAAAGGTATATGTGACCTGCTACGGGAAAAGGGCCCATTTGACGCAAAATAATTTTTCCGAGTAAACGGCCAAAACACGCGGAAAATCCACCCATCATCATATCCTCAATGGCTACACAGCAAGAAACTACGATCATCTGTCTACCTTTTCGCGGAGAAAAAACTCTGTGCGCCGTTCAGGGATCGCGCAGTGCCGTGTCTTTCCCAAGACCTTCCCCGTGCGGCCAGCCATAACCGGGCATTCCACGGAGAAAATTACGCGGTCAGTTATACGTAATCGTGTTACGCGCGCGCCGCGTGATCTCGTATACGGAATTTCGGATTTAGACCGGAAGTTGATCTTTGAGGTCAATATCTCCGTTCCAGTTTCTAGGGACGCCCTCGCTACCGCTGCGTGTAGCACGAAAGCGAAGCGCGTTACGCGATTTGCGATTGCGTCATAGTACGGAGCGGGCTTTTAGCAACAGGCTCGTACAAAAATCAGGGAAAAAATTTTGCGCGTCAAATGGGCCCTTTTCCCGTAGCGGGTCACATATACATACGATGTGTATGTGTAACTATATAATACTATTGTACATTTACACTGAGCATTAAATTGACAGGCCTTCATGCACATCGGATTAGGACCAAATGACAATTGACATGCTTAATTACCAGGCGAGCGAGTATGAGCAGTTTGATTTTTCACACGTATTTAGAATGACGTTAATTTTTTCACGTGTATTAGAGCATCACTGTATATATGTGCAGTGGCTACATTGTCTAAACTGCCGCCTAATTAGTGTAATGTTTTTTCCTTGTTATTGTGCTCTGTTTACTTCGCCTCCATTTCTGGTACTGGAGCAGGAGTCACCCGTGACTGACAGGAAGGCAGATGTGATAAAGGCCGCCTACCTGGCCTCCGAGATTGCCCATCGGATGGTCGTGCCTGGAGGAGAGGTCTGCCATCTTCTCATACATTTACTTTGAGTGTTGCCTAGTGTGTGCAGGGGTGCAATCTAACATTTTTCCCAACGGGCTAGTAAGCTCTCAAGTCTACTAGCCCAACAGCTTTCACACTAGCCCAAATATTTATTGAAGGCACAGAATCAATTACACATCATCACAAACAGTGTCTTCATCTGACTGTCTAGGTTTTTTAGTTGGAGGTTCCTGTAGTTGATTTGTTTGTTGTGCTTTTGCCTTTATTTGGAGGTTCCTGTACTCCTTCCAAATACCTCCACAAGGTTGTCAAAACAGTATATACAAAGCACACCGCAGACCCCGCCCCCATGCCGCATGCACTTGTGTAAACTACATAGTACGCATGCGCGAAGATCAGACCCCGCCCCCATGCGTCGCGTATTCGATCGCCAGTTCGCCGCAGCGAAGACGCTGGCTCACGTCTACTATATACCGAACTAAACTACGTTATTACAACTTGACTTTGCTATTACAACTCCACTAAGTCTGTCTAGTGTGTCTCTCGCCAGCCGGGCGACCGCTTTAGGCGTTAGCACCCGTCCGCGCCGTAATTTACCCGCCGCGGGCGGGCGGGCGAGTGCTAGTTTGAAACCCTGTGTGTGTAGCCGCAGCGAAGACGCTGGCTCACGTCTACTATATACCGAACTAAACTACGTTATTACAACTTGACTTTGCTATTACAACTCCACTAAGTCTGTCTAGTGTGTCTCTCGCCAGCCGGGCGACCGCTTTAGGCGTTAGCGCCCGTCCGCGCCGTAATTTACCCGCCGCGGGCGGGCGGGCGAGTGCTAGTTTGAAACCCTGTGTGTGTAGCCTTACACTGGAACACATGATTGTTCATTCTATTGCCATTGAGGAGTCTGGGCTTTACAATTGGATGTTAGCATTAAACTACATACGTACTACAGTCTATTTGGCATGGTTTCCTTTGACTTTTCTTAACTTCACATGCCTACAAGAAATTGTGTGTGTGTGTATGTGTATGTAGGTTGTACTTATCCATTGGGAAAAGTCCTTCTGGCAGTTCATGTTACTATGCGCACAATTGCATACTTATAGGGTTGGAGTCTGAATTGCTTAACAAACACAATACTATAGTTGGTTGTCATAGCACACAGTATCCTTGCCAACTCACCTAAGATAGATTGTGTATGTATGTACATAGGAGCTATGTAGATTAATACTCAGTAATGACTGTTTGTTTCCAGCATGAGTAGAAGCTATGTGTAGATGCTACAATTATGAATCAGTAAAGGCTAACTCAACTAGTGTGCAAGTCTCTATATGTTTTAGCAATACATGTACTTCCATACTCTTAATGGTTTTTGTTTGTGTCTACTATCTTCATGGCTGGTGCCAGAATGCACCAGGGGGACATTGTCCCTCTATGTCTTCATTTGTCATGCTTCCCAGGGGACACTTTCACCCCCAATAGTAGCCATCCTGGTATTGGGACCATCTAAATTTGTTGGTATGGGGCTGATTGTCCCATAGCAATAAATCTCTGGAGCTAGCTCTGTACTTTACCGCCATCCCTCTACCCCCGTTGTCATCTCCACTCCAGAACATGGCGGTGACAGATGCGATCCAGAAGGTGTGTCGGTCGTTCGACTGCAACGCGTGTGAGGGCATCCTCAGCTACCAGCTCAAGAGGAACAACTACACCACCGATAAGACCATCATTCTCAACCCCAACGAACAGCAGAGGTGACCTCTCCACTAACACATTATTCCATGTGCTGTCATAAAACAACAGCTGAGCAAGCACACCTACTGTAATTATTTAACTGATTACACGCCGCTGTCGCCTACACGTGCGCTGGCAGTGCCGCTGTCACTTTGTAAGTCACACACGTCCCTGTTGGAGTGTGCGTTTGTGTACTACATACATGCGTTTGTGTGTGTGTACAGGCGAGAGCAGAAGAGCTGTGAGTTCAACCTGTTCGAGGCCTATGCCATCGACCTGATAGTCAGTACGGGAGAGGGCCGTACAAAGACCCATGACACACGGACCACTGTCTTCAGGAAGACTGACGACACTTATCAGCTCAAGATGAAGGCCTCGCGAGGTGGGCAGAATCCTCTGCATTTTCCTTTTTGTTTTAGAGTTCACACTGCTTTGTGATTTTGTTGTAAAAAGCCGGACAGCCATATAATGTGTACATGTATCCAGTGTTTCCCGCAGGGTAATATTCAAACAGGGTTGTTATGAATTATTAATCACCTCAGCTTTCTGGCTGAAAAACAACTTGCTACTCATGTTTCAGAGCACTTCCTGTTGGGAAATCCCCTACTGGCCAAATTATTGTCATTGCATCTTTGCCAGCATGCGTATTACTACCTTTAAAAGGAATATGGCAGTATATAAGGCCTAAATTTAGAAATGTTACTAAAACAGAACTAAATTGCATTCTTTCAAAGTGTCTTTTCTATCTTTAGTAACATTTCTAAATTCAGCCTTACAGTATCCAAGGTATAAAATGAACGCATGTGTTTTGGGTTTGACTCTGCATACGATCGCGTTCGTCTCCACATGCGATCGCGTATGTTGCCAGCGTCGACTTTTCGTGTTTACGCATTCGTTGGCAGCACCGAACGCTTTTCACTTCTCTTGTAACGCGGAGCTCCGAAGAGAAACGCCATTCTATACTAGCGTACTAAGCAAGGACGGTGGCGCGCCGGGTAGCAAGCGCAGAAGGTCTGCCGACCGTTATTCTGCGGAGAGAGCTGCTGGAACGTCGAGGCCGCCACATCATCGCCATTCTGACTCGGCACATCCTCCGAGTTGCCTATCGTCGTTTGCGTTTTCACACAGAGACAATGCGTGTGAGGTGAGGAAGAAACATTTTCACGTGGAGCTGAATGTGTGCTCAGGTGGAGACGAATACGCTCTCACGCGGAGCCGAACGCAATCGCACGCAGCGACGAACGCGTTCTCACGCGGAGATGAACATGTTTGCATTATAGCGGCGTAGTGGGAACTTATTTTTGGTTCGTACTGTATATACTTATCTACTTTCCTTCTACCACCCACTTCCCTTCTTCGCTCTCTCCCTCTCCTTTCCCCCATCCATCTTTTCTGCAGCATTCTACAGTGAAGTTAGCAGTAAATTCACAGTCATGCCATTTTCGTTAAGGCAAGTACAGTACATTATGTAAACCGCTACTGTGCTCTCTGTTAAACAGTAGAAACAGCATTTTCTTTATTGATTTTCTTGGCCGTAGTAAGTCCTAGTCAAACGTGTGGCATTCCAATATTGTCCCCAATCTTTGCAGAATAAGTTGATCTCACCCTTTGAAAAATAAACAAGCTTGTTCAAGCTGGTCTAATGTATGGTCCAAGTTTAAAACAGGCATGGACAAGCCTGATCAACCGTAGGTCAAGCGTAGGTCAAGCATGTTACAAGCAAAAATAACCAAGCTTGAACAAGCTTGGTTATTTTTCAAAGGGCAGTTACCACGTTTCTGTTTAAGGCACCACGTTTGTCATGTATATAATATCATACCATGCTGTGGAAGCATTCGATGATTAAATATGACCCTTCAATCCTAATTAGATCATGTGAGGAGGAGAGCAAAGCAAGAATGGGTGTGGTCGAGTGTCTAAACCACAAACTAGTGGAGCCGTTCAATGTCCTCTACGAGAAAGAAGGTGAGCACCAATTAGAAACAGTTACCCACCCTCATCAGGGTTAATATTTTTCCATCCTTTTTGCATGTCGAAGTTCCCACTGTAGATATTGGTGCCATTTGGGCTGTTCTGACATGCAGTTATCACGCATAGCATGTTGCAAAAGTTACTTAAAACCTTCTGGCATTATTAAATTTGGCGATGTTTTTATTTTCGACCATTTTCCTGGTTTGGAGTCGAAACGGTAAAGTTGTCAATACTTTGTGTACTCTCATCAATGGTGCAGGGGAGTTTGTTGCACAGTTCAAGTTCACAGTTCTACTAATGCCCAATGGACCACTCAGGTTGGCTAATACACCGTCTCATACACAGGATTACCAAGTACCCAATTCTTACTTAACTTCCGCCTAACCCCACCTTTGAAAAGGGTCTCCTGGCATTATTGGTCGGCACTCTTGTGGTATGCCTTAGTTAATGTGGACTTGTCGCTGTGTGTGCACAGAGCTTCGTTAGTTGTGCCCACATGCTCGCATTGTATTTAGCAATTTTTCGGCAGAACCAAGAAATGGCTCAGACTCTTCCTCTGGGTTGCGGCATGATACTTTTCATATGTTAGTCGGTGAGCGAAGCAAGTCTGCTTAGTTGTCTGAACGCACGATTTTTCTCTATGCATCAAAATACCGAAACTGCACATACCGTAATGTTCTAGGAATAATTATTTGAACTCCGTGCTAGTTGCTCTAGCCAAAAATGGTTCTAGTGCTTATGCCCAGGTTGCAAAATCTCGACAACGACAAATGTAATCCCTAATGACTGTATTTAAACGTTGGTGGATACTATTCCCCTTTTTTCCCTCAGTAACAGCTTTTGAACCCCTCTGTTACACGTGCTCTGGCATTAACTTCACTAGGAGCATCTCAGTGAAACAGTACAGCCATACAACTACTGCACCGCACAAGTTTTTGCAATATTAAAGCTGGTGTGTGTGTGTGTGTGATATTGTGCAGGATAACAACGGGAGGGCCACTAGACCCTGAAGTGTACCAAAGTTCACATTCACTGGCAGACCAAGAATTGATAGTGAGTGACTCAGTCTGTTGGTTACATAATGCAGCGTACAATGTTAAGTTGGAACAAGGGGCAATTTTTTTCATGACGGTGTACACTAAAGGGGTGGCTAAGTCACAGGAATGTACTGTGAGGGCGAAATAGCACTTGTAGAGTAATTGCGTAAAAATGTGTCTCGGGTAAACGTGCCATCCTCAGGAACAGCCTTAGGACGCTCACGCCATCCTACACGCTCCTACCCACGATCGTTGATGCTGTTAAAACTCTAACTCGTAAACAGAGAGCGTAGACGGAATAATGGCTCTACGAGTAATTGCTGTTTCCACATTCCGAGCTTCACGTAGAGTGGCCAAACTTCTTGAAAACCACTTGCAGTAGTATGCTCCAATTTTGCACAGCGGTATAATATAGGAAAAGTGCTGAACTTAAAATTTTCCCTGACTTTAGTGCCTTTTCATGTACACAATAATTGCCGAGCACGTTAGCGTGAGGCAACTACTCCGGGTTGTATTCTCGTGATATGCGTGTAAGTACGTACGTGTCGTCACGCTTAAGAATGTCAAGTAGTCACGCTTAGGAATGTCACTTCCGTCATTCGTAGGAAGTCTAGCTTCCACTGTGCGCGCAGATTCGTAGGAAGTCTGGCTTCGCACACAGTCAGTAGAGTGTGTGCACACGAGCTGCCTCAGTCGGAGTGTTTACGCATTGGCTGGCAGGCGCGAGGCAAAATATGCGCGTGTGCATTCCTACTAATATTATGATGGTCCCTCCTCCAACTGCACACGTCTCGAAGAGATACATGCTTTGGATTTTAAATTGCTGTTATAGTCTGGTTGTATTTTCATATGTAGGGTTTACTAGCTACCTCTGCAAGTCGGAAGCAAAAGAAGAAGAAGAAAAAGGTATGTATACAAAAAAAACTGTAGCAACCAATTATCCATCTCCTCCCTCTCTATATATTTATACTGCTGCCACAGGGAAAGACAACTGACTCTCAAGAGGTATGTACAATACTTTCAGTACAGTGTCAAACCAATAATCATCTCCTTACCACCCTTCTCCCTTTCTCTCTGCCCTACATACAGATTGAGAGCACTGCAGAAACAGCGGCAGACTAATTTTTCTCTTCTATATAATATGTGTAAAATTGTACTATTCTATGATCTCTTAGTGATATCACTCGAATTTTAAGCTACAGATCACAATCACAATGCAATCCCTCGGCACACTGCGCATGCGCGGTACCGCGTGCGTACACGCCGCCATGGTGTACAGCGCTTCATCTTGCACCTTCAATGCGGCCTGAAGTGGTGTGCGCATTCGAAACTTATAGCGAGCCGTAGGCGACTTGAAACAGCAGGTCGACTCAAACAGGCTAGCTCTTATGTTGCTGTAAACTGAACCTACCATGGCTCCGCGAGTCTGTCGCACAGAGTAGTATGGGCCAGAGCCGATCAATCACCACCATCATTGACTTTGGGCTTCGTTGGATCCAGCCTTCCGGCATAGGCTACTCTACTCTCTCAGGCGAAGAGCAGGCCGTTATAATGTCAGAACCTGCGCCCGGCTAGAGTGAATATTGTGAAGTGGTTTTTGAATGTTAAGCGAATTGCCGTCGAGTCCAGCGAGGAGAGAGAGGCTCGCCTAGCGCTACTACGCAGGAATCAACAGCAGAGAATTGCCAACAAGTCTGCCGATGAGAGAGAGGGTCGACTACAGTTACTACGCAGGAATCATGTGCTACCTGCGCATGCGTCACGATAATTATATATAACGCGCTTCTACACGCTGGTAGGTTGGCTCGTGCAGATATAGTCATTGTGTGCTCGCTCCCGCTCGCCAAAAATTCGCCTACCAGTTACACAATGAGGTAGCTACATTGATGACTTCTTTATACTACAATTTAATGACGCCATACAGGACATATATCCTTCTGAGCTTCAGCTCAAGAAAACTACAGAGAGCCCAAGTACACTTTCCTACTCAGATATACTTATTAAGATAGAACATGGGAAATATTCTACTATGATAAGGGGGATAGTTTTCTCTTTGACATCTTAAATTTTCCGAATATGAGTTCTAACATCCCATCTAAGCCAGCTTATGGTGTATATTATGTTTCCCAACTTGGTAGAATATGCAGTGGTTACGAGCAATTTTGTGAGTGACATTACAAACTCACCCAAAAATTTATAAATCAAGGATTTAGATACGTGGAGCTATGTAAAGCGTTTAGAAGGTTTGCAAAAAGCCATTTGCATGGCAAATACAACCGCAATGTACGAAGACATATTGAGGATGGCGTATGTTTGCCAGCCAGTGATGGATTCCTGGGCCGCCATGTCTCAACACATAGAAGATCCTGTGGGATTGGTAGCTAGCTAGTAAACAAACAGTTGTCAGACATAAGCTTCACGTTGACTATAATACTGCATAATTTACTATGTACACTATGTGGGGCGGCACTAATAGGAACCACGATAGCGCACCACGTTTTTACTGCGTAAGTAAGTCGTTTTATTCAATTCTACCACGTTTTTACCACTACAAGTGAGTCATTCTACCTTGTTTTGTCCACTCCAGTAAGTAAGCTAGATTATATATTTTTCAATTTTTCATTTTTCTACCATGCTACCAATTTCATTTTTCTACCATCTATAATAATTATATTTGTATCTATCATACTCTACTTGTGTTGTCATCCAAAGCAAGGAGGTAGTCCAAACGCGGGTCAGTTTGATGCGTATATGTGCGGCTTAGATCACCGAGGTATTATAGCTGCAATACTACGCGGAGTAAGCGGAAATACTATAGGTGAAGGCTACTCTCCTTAGTGCAGGTTGGAGGGCTTGAACTCCGCTTTTACTGGATGTTGTTATATTCCAGAAAGCTTCGTGATGAAGGGAGATTTGCATGGCGTCCGTCGGTAGATGAAAACGTCCGATGTTACGTAATATCGACAGTCGACCTTTTCGACGGCATAACTCGGCAACAAAAGCGCGTCAATGATCCAAACTTGGTACGAAGGATTGTCATTTGCAACACTACATCTTAGATATAGAATAACTGAACGATATTCTATCGTACGCTCTGGATGCCTGTCCGAATACACATTGTGTCCGATCTTTGATGAGCTACTCTAGCAACCCCTACAGCGGCAGGATCATTTTTCCCGGGCTTGCCCCGTGCTGTATGTGGACATCTCCAGGAATGAAGCTTGCCCCGTGCTGTATGTGGACATCTCCAGGAATGAAGCTGTCGCTATGCATAGCATTACTTCCCCAGCTGTAAACAGATTTTTGTAGGTGCAGCTGATTAAACTGTACTTTGTTGCTAGACAGAATGGCACCCTTGACCTCTTGGCTATACTCTGCTGTGTGGATATTCGTAAAAATTGGTAAAGCTAGTGGAAAAATCATTTCTCTAAAAATGAAGAGGATGTAGGGATGGCAGTTCATGAAAAACTAGGGAAACAAGACACTATGGAGGTTAATAATCATAATAACCCCATCCCTGACCTTTGTCCGGGTACAAAGTTTTGTTCCTATGTATTATACTGTCTCAAAACATACAAAACAAGGTAGACAAAGATGTAGGGATGGGCTTATTATGATTATTGACTTCCCTAGTCTCTTCCATCCCTATATACATCCCCCTTCATTTCAGATAAATGATTTTTTCCACTTGTAATAATAGGGCACCTATGGGTATTTTCCTAATTAGGAATTTATTCGCTTACTTACTACTGCTTAGGTTCTCAGGTACAACAGAGTCAGTTGAGGGCTGAGTAGAACTGATAATGTGTCCCATAACACCATATTTATAATTGATCCTCATTTGAAATGTATTACAACTGTCACCTGCTTCAGCCCCTGTAATATGAAAGGTAGAACAATCATGTAGTCAAGCAGATGAGAATTTCCTACCCTGACTTGCGAAGTAAATATAATTACACACAAAGTCATAACGACAGTCCACCCGCCTTCTCCTCTCCCAAGAAGGCTTGGCTCCTCAAGACTAAGCATTCCTCTAGTATATATCGCTCGGAAAAAAGGCGTGGCTCCCTCCGCACGGTCCGCGTCGGTGGCTCGTTCCTGCGCGTGCTTGAAATGCGCATGGACAGTATATACAGTACTAATCGCATCGATAAAATACGTATCTCATTGTCATCACTCTTCAGTCACTAGTAAAATTTGTGTGTCCCTACTTTATACATAAAATCCCGAATTTTTGGAAGCATAGTCCTTCCTTTTTTTACTGGGAGGTTGACAGGTATGCTAACGGCTTCATTACATATCTTAGACGAACACCCAAGAATATGCTGAATCGTATAGAATCTATTGAGTGTACACAGCTAACGTCGCCATTTATGACTGCTAACTCAGCACCTACGTTACGTTGAAGCCAGAAGGCGTAGTCTAGTCGGTCACATTGCGCACGCGTACTGGTCTGCGAAAGGGATGCTGTTGCAGCTCAGCTGAAGACTTTTCCAGCCACAGCAGCATGCATGGTATGTAGAGTAGCTCATCAAAGGTCGGACACCATGTATAAGCGGACAGGCCTCCTGAGCGTACGATAAAATATCATTTAGTTATTCTATATCTAGGATGTAGTATTTAATGATAATCCTTCGTTCCAAGTTTGGAGGATTGACGCGCTTTTGTTGCCGAGTTATGCCCTCGAAAAGGCCCACTGCCGATATTACGTAACAGCGGACGTTTTCATCTCCCGACGGACGCCCTGCAAATCTCCCTTCATCACGAAGCTTTCTGGAATATAACAACATCCAGTAAAAGCGGAGTTCAAGGCCTCCAACCTGCACTAAGGAGAGTAGCCTTCACCTACAGTATTTCCGCTTACTCCGCGTAGTATTGCAGCTATAATACAGTACATTGCGCTAATATTGTATTATAGCCCTATATAAATTCTTATGGACATATGGGTGCTCTGGGCATATATATGTGCCCGTGGGGTTAACACATGTCCATCCCTGGCAGGTTGCATGCTACAGGGTGCGTGCGTGACTTGGGAGTGCTTTAAAAATACAATTTTCAGATGTGGTCAGTGCCCATCTGAAATCAGATGCCCCTTAGCCATAAATTTTAGGGGGAAGCTTATGAAACTTCAGAGTAGATGGATGTCTGAAATTTCAGACACTACTACATCTTAGATATAGAATAACTGAATGATATTCTATCGTACGCTCTGGAGGCCTGTCCGAATACACATGGTGTCCGATCTTTGATGAGCTAGTCTAGTGTCTTAAATTTCAGACAGCCATCTACTCTGAAGTTTCATAAGCTTCCCCCTAAAATTTAGGGCTAAGGGGTATCCGATTTAAGATGGGCACTGACCGCAACACTACATCTTAGATATAGAATAACTGAATGGATGAGCTAGTCTAGTGTCTGAAATTTAAGACAGCCATCATGTACCTTCGTGGATCAAGATCCACTCTCCATCGCCTAACCTGGTTCGATCGCTCACTGTAATGCCTTGGCTGACAACATGGATCTGGCCTGCGCCGAGGGGCGGGTCCCTTACCTCATTTAATTCTAGCACATTCCCTATATTTATTTTTCTCTCTATAGTCGTTTTACTTTCAGCCAGTTTACAATCTGTATACATACGTTTTGCACTTTTAATATGAATATGAATCTAGTATAATAGGCGAATGCAGGGCATTAGCGGGAGAGAGCACACAATGACTGCATCTGCACGAGCCGCCATCCTATATGGCCTATATATTTACAACTTAGATCTTTGAACCAAGAAGATCAGAAAGATGTACATCCTCCGTCAAGCACTGTGACTGCAGGCAAGAGATTGACGAGAGTTTTCTCGCTGGTTCGATCGCGCATCGTACCGTGCAAGAAGCGCAACAATCCAAACGCATGCGAAGTTGGACGACGTACGGTATTGCCTACGCATGTGAAAACTATGAGGTAGAAAGGCAAAGGCACAACAAACAAATCAACTACACCCAGGACAGCTCTTTTTTTTCCAAGGAAAAATAAAGAGCTGCCCTAGGTGGGATTCGAACCCACGACACTCTGCAGTCTAGGCGAGCGCTCTACCAACTGAGCTACCAGGGCAACACAGCTGGTAAGGGTTCGAATCTACAACACAACACAACACAAGGCAAACCTCCAACCACTGTGCTATGGCACAGTAAACTCTCACTTAGCATGTAGGAGCAGACCGGGGTACC